ATAGATAACACTTGTACTGAGCAAACTGAGCCACTTCTCTTGAGCGATTTGGTGTTTTAATCTACTGAATACCAGACAGTCAAAATTACAAGATAAATAACACATGTGAGCTTATGACCTGAGGAAATCTTGTAACCTACAAATTGTAGTTGTCACTCATTTTCATTAGTTTGCAAGGGTTTCTATAACAAAGTTCCACTGATTGGATGGCTTACACAGTAGAAAGGTTTTGTCTCACAATTCTGGGAGCTCAGTGTCTGAAATCAAAGTATTGGTAAAGTTTATTCCTCTGGAGAACCATGAAGGGAAATGCTATTCCAGGCCTCTCTCCCTGGCTGACAGAGGCCAAGATGGCAGACGTTTCCCTGGTACTCTCTCTGGTGGCTACCAGGTCTGAATTCACTTTTGAGCAAGGACATCAGTCATGTGGACTTACACCCACCTCAGTGACCTTAAATTGTATTCATTACACCTCCATAATAGCCCTATCTCCAAATAAGTTCATGTTCTGAGGGAGTAGAAGTTAGGATTCCAAGAGATAAATATGGAGAGCTAGGAATACAGTTTAACCCATAACCCAGCAAGTTGTCTAGGCAACTCCTGCAGCATTACACTTTCTTCTTGAACTAAAGCACTCTTCAGTGTTTGTTTGTTTGTTTGTTTGTTTGTTTGTGACAGGGTCACACCATATTTCCTAGGCTTGTCTCAAACCTGTGGGTTCAAGTGGTCCTCCTGCCTCAGCCTCCCAAGTAGCTGGGACTACAAGCATGTGCTGCTGTGCCCAGCTTCAGTAATCTTTTTTCCTTAGGTGCCCCTACTTCCAGGGGTGGGCATATAATTCACTTTTGTTTAGAGAAACACATTTGATACTATGACTGATTTAGGGGTGAGCATATGACTGAAAGTAAGCCAATCAAACTCCTCACTGAGACTTTTACTCTAACTACCAAAAAAGATTCTAGGCACTCTGTACCTGCTGGTGGCCATCCTTTGTGACACATACAAAAAAGCTGCCTGAGATTAAAGCTTAGCCTACTGGATGCATGGCATCTGCCACGATCACTCACTCCTTCAGGACTACAGCACTCTTTTTTCCAGTAGCTTGGAACCCTGGCCTTAAGTGACTCTCTGCTGAGCTACTCTGCATGAACTGCCCTCAGTCAAACAGAGCCACCTGGCCGATGACTGATTCCTGTGAGGATGAAAACTCATGAAAGTTCGCCTTCTTCCCTTCAGACTAGACATTCCTAAAGGATCAGCCAGAACCCAAGCTGCAGCAGAATGAGCTATGGTGTCTGGCCCTTTCCTCTCTGGCACTGATGCCTTGTGCTTCTTCTGCTCAATTCTGTCTCCCTTATTCACATTGTCCATGTGGATAGAAATCACTCCCCAGGAAATTTACTGCATGCACATCTGCACCCCAAGACTACATCCACAGAGAAGAAAACAAGGTGATGCTGATGCATTACTGAGTACCTCACTTGAGACTGTGGATCTTGTCTTAGTTACTTTTTCCTTATTGCTGGGACAAAATACCTGACAGCCAGCATGAAGAAAGGAGCGTTTTATTTAGCTCACAGTTAGTAGACATTTCAGTCCATGCTTGGCTGGCTCTAAGGCAGAGTGGCACATGGCAGAGGGCAGCAGTTCATGGAGGTAGAAAAAAGCAAAGGGAAGAGCAGTGGCTGCAGCAGCTAGCAAGCCTTGCTCCCTCTTTATATTGTATGCAAATTACCCACCCCAGGGTGTGTATAGCACTCATACCCATAAGCCCAGCATTGGATCATGAGTTAATCACAAACTCGAGAAGCCATCGTAATGATTGTATGAGGCTTTGGGGGGACAACTAGACACAAGCCGTAACAGTGCTTTCAGTTTTATGAAGCAATAAATTTCCTTTTGCACCTTAAACTGCTTAGTCCAGAATTCCTGTCTCTTTCACTAAATGAGACTCTACCCAGTACAACACCTTGGGTACAATTATCAGAAATAACCAACTGTACAGGCATTGCAGTACACTGAGCTCCACAGAGAGCCCGATGGGCACTGGGCGACCCTGTACCTCGCTGAGGAAAACAAGTAAATATGGGCAAAGGAGATCCTAAGAAGCCAAGAGGCAAGATGTCACCCGATGCATTCTTTGTGCAAACCTGCCGAGAGGAGCACAAGAAGAAGCACCCAGGTGCTTACGTTAACTTCTCAGAGTTTTCTAAGAAGTGCTCAGAGAGGTGGAAGACTGTGTCTGCTAAAGAAAAAGGAAAATTTGAAGACATGGCAAAAGCGGACAGGGCTCGTTATGAAAGGGGAATGAAAGCTTATATTCCTCCTAAAGGAGGAACAAAAAAGAAGTTCAAGGATCTCAATGCGCCCAAGAGGCCTCCTTCGGCCTTCTTGTTCTGAGTATTGCCCCAAAATTAAAGGAGAACATACTCGCCTCTCCATTGGTGATGTCGCAAAGAAACTTGGAGAAATGTGGAATGATACTGCCGCAGATGACAAGCAGCCGTATGAGAAGAAGGCTGCTAAGCTGAGGGAAAAGTATGAAAAGGACATCGCTGGCTCGCGGGCTAAAGGAAAACCTGATGCAGTGAAAAGGGGAGTCGTCAAGGCTGAAAAAGCAAGAAAAAGAAGAAGAGGAGGACAAAGAGGAGGAAGAGGAAGAGGATGAGGAGGATGAAGAAGAGGATGATGATGAATAAGTTGGTTTAGCGCAGTTTTTTTTTCTTGTCTATAAAGCATTTAACCCCCTTGTACAGAACTCACTCCTTTTGAAGAAAAAAAAAAGATTGAAATATAAGGCTGTATAAGATTGCTTTCAAACTGTACGGTGTCTTTTTTGTATAGTCAACACACTACGGAACATGTCTCTAGCTAGCCCTGTCCTGGTACATTTTCAGTAGCCACTAACCTTGCCTGGCACACTATGGGGGTCATACATTGGCATGGGAATTTAAAGCAGGTTCGTGTTAGTGCACAGCACAAATTAGTTATATACGGGGATGGTAGTTTTTCCATCTTCAGCTGTCTCTGATACAGCTTATATGAAATAATTATTGTTCTGTTAACTGAATACCACTCTCTAATTTAAAAAAATGTTGCAACTGCTTTGTTAACATTCTGAATGCTTCTAAGGAAATACAATTTTTTATTAAGAGAAAAACAAAATAGCCAAGTGTGAGTGGCAGAAGGATTGCTGTGTGTTTGTTCAGCATCTACCCAGCTAATCTGTGCCCAGATTTCTTCCAGGGACTGGGGACATGGAAGCGCAAAAATCACAGTCCCTATCCTTGGAGGTTTACATTTTGGTGAGGAAAAGAAAAAATAAGCAAGGAATAAAATGAACACAGAGTGCAACTTTGAGAAAAAGCTATCCGCACAAATTAGGCCCAGGAGGCCAGGGTGCCAGGAGACTGGCACTATTATGTTAGACAGCTCTATATTTGGGTGAAAGAGGCCATTCCTAGCTTCTGTACCTATGCTGAGGCATCTTCCCAGAAACTGCCATGACATTTAAAATCATCCACAGAGATGAGCAGGGGCCTTGCAATTAGCAAGCTACTGGAGAGTGCAACCTTGTGCCAAGACCTACTTGGGCAATTTCAGGGACAACTCCTTCAGATTTGATGTCCTGGAATATGTCCCTCATCCTGCCCTTTTCAGATCATTTCAGATTCTTTGGGTTGATTGCTTTATTTAGCATTGTGGTACTTAAGCTTAACAATATCAAGTTGGTTCATTTGAGAACCACTTAGGGGACTGCTGTGCGTGGGTGAGTCGTGGAGTCAGAACCTTGTATACTATGTAAGGTACCTGGCCCCTTCCTCTCTGGTACTGATGCCCTGCTCTGCTTACTAGCCACCATGAACTGGGCATCTTCGCTGTACCAGGCCTTTACACCAGGATGTTTATGCTTTAGAGCAACCAGCCATTGACTTAAGCCTCTGAGACTAGGAGCCAAAATTAAATCTCTTCTTTAAATTGTAGGTACCAGGTATTGTCCCTTAGTGACAAGAACTCTGAAAAACACAAGCACTCAGAACCACCATATGAGGTAGGTACTCCCATTTTCTTTGATAAGCAATAAATTCAAGTCTCTAGAAATCCTCCAAGGTGATAGAAGAATTATTTTGAGCCCAGAAGTCTGATTCCAGGGACACTTGCCATCCCTTTGGAAGTCTGAACAACGTGGCAGTACTGTACCTGCAGGTCATATCTGTCAGGGTGAATTACACATGGATCGTTTCTAACAATCCTAAAGTCATAAGACAAGGGACTGCCATTTACTAGCCAACCATGTCAGGCTACCAAATACTTTTTCCTGTAAGATCATTTTTTGGTTTGTTTGTTTGTTTGTTTGTTTGCTCCAAGTTCCTGGTTTAATAAGGACTTAATTATTTTGAGAAAAAAGATCCCAAACATCAGACGTTCACAAAAAATAACCCACGGTATCAACTTTAGAAAACAAAGACTATTACACTAATTTTTCTAGAGGATGCATTTGACACACTGTCATTCACGAAAATACATTGTTACATTTGTGTTTAACAGCCCCACAAAGTACTTGATGTGGGTGATACACGTGACTCTTAAGTCAAACAAAGCTGCTTTCAGATGCTACAGTAGGTGAGATTGCCTTTGCAGTTAGGGAAGCAACTCCTGAAATCATGTATAAATGGCAATAACTATACTGCCTGCATCGTGAGAGACTATTGTGGAGACAGCTGATAAAAACCATACAACATTTTTATTGTTAAGTTATAAAGAGGTATCAAAATTAAAAAGCCAAAATGACAGGAGAAGACTTAACAAAACTACTACGAGCATCAAAGGAAGTGAAAATGGTACTAGGCGCAGGGCAATTATGAACATGGTAGGACACAGGGAGAACAGTGAGCATGTGCTGAAGACACTAGGGGAGAGGATCTGGTGAAATTTTGATCTTAGACAAGCGCCTAGATAAAAAAAATAATAGTACAAGACTTCTAAACTAAACTATGTGCTTAAGAGTCATCTTTGCCATTGGTGCTGTCTCTGTCATCCTCTCCTTCCTCAGCCTCTTTTTCATCATCCTTGATCAACTCCAGTTGGTCCTCCGCCCGATCTTCATTTTCATCATCATCCAGTAGATCCCCTTCCTCAGCAGAATCATCCGCAGCACCCTCAGATTGCATCTTCACATTAGTCTCATCTTTCTTCTGGGAGGTGGTGGTCTGCTCCTCTTTGGCCTTATTATTCTTCATCTCCACTGCTGGTTTGCTCTGTTCCTTTTCAATTTTCTCGAGGCTTTCCAGTAAAGGATCCACTTTTTGTTTTATCTGGGTCAACTCCTTCTTAATGGCCTGAAGATCATCATCTTTCAACTTTCCAGACTTGGATGAAGATCCCCGCTGACCACTCTTAGAATTGAAGCCACTTTTGCCTCTTCAGGAGGTGTTTCCTGATACACGCTGGCGTTTTGAGGGCACTACAGCCCAAGCAATAGGAGGAGGAGGAGGAGGAGGAACACGTGCTGGGTAACTATACATCCTGTCATAATAATCACATTGAAAGTCATAGTCTAAGTCAAAAGAGGAGCTGAGTAGAGGGCACGGACAAGGGTGTTCTGTTACTGACCCGTACATCTCCAATGCCAAACATTTCACCCCTGCTTTTCCTCTGTTCACTTTTGGCTCTGCAGCCAGATCAATATCTAAAACCTGGCCAGCAATCATTCTGCCATCCTCTCCAGCTACAGCAGCCTGGGCATTTCTTTCATTAACATACTGGACAAAGGCAAAGCCCTTATGAACAGAGCAACCCACAATTTTGCCATACTTCGAGAAGATGACCTTCACATCAGATTTCTTCACCACCAGAGTGTTCAGATTCCCAGTGAACACATGGGAATTCATGGAGCGAGGATCTGTCTTGTTGGTAACATTGCTAGCCATTGTGTTTGAAGATAAAATTGCTTACAGTGACAAAAAACAGGAGAGCATGAGAGAAGAGATTCGATTCCGAATCCCCTGCTCCCAGGTTCTACGTGAAGTTGACTGCTGATCGAGGTCAGCAATGCAGCAGCGACTGTTCAGTCTCTCTTCACAAAATGGCCTGTAAGTTCATTTAATCTTTAGGAAAAAACCCAAGGCTGGCATCTTTTTTCTTATTTTACCAGGACAAAATAATTCAAGGACAACTTAAGAAATGAACCCCTCTAACTAGTGCTAGACATGGCCTCAGATTTGGATCTCATTGATTCCAAAGCATAAATTCTTATTAAAATTATAATTGACTGTACTAGTTTTCCAAGAAAATGGTCAGAGGGGTCTACTGAGTTTCAGTTCTATATTGTCATTCAATTTTCTCTTCAATAACACCTAGAAAGCTCTCATTATCTTGGAAATTGGTGATATAAAGATGTAGGGATCCCCTGACCTCACTGTGAATGATTCTACCCGGGGAGACACGGCAACAGGAATGAGAAAGACAAGAAGACAAAAGCTGGGCTAGGTGGTCGCTAGTCTGCCTGATGGGCAAGACTAATGCAACACACAACAAAATGATCCTTTATTTATACTTTTGCAAAGTTAGTAACACATGACACAAGGTTGCCTAGTGACTAACAGCTGGCCTGAAGCAGACAGGATGTTTTTCTCAGGACTGAGATAGTTTGTTTGCTTTAGGTACTGAGGCCTAGTCCCACCTATACAGATTTGATCAATTTCCTAGACACAGAGATGCTGTGGTTTGTGTCTAGATGTCCCCCCAAAGCCTCACGCAGTCGTGGCATGGGTTTCTGGGGCTTTTGACTGACTCGTGGACCAATGCTGGGATTACAGATGTGAGTGTGGCACCCACTCTGGTGCAGGCAGCCTGTAGGCCATATAAGGGAAGGAAAGAGGCTTGCTTTCTGTTGATACTGCTCTCCTTTTGCTCTTGCTGCTTTTGCCGTTTTCCGCCACCATGAACTGCTGCCCTCTGCTACGCACCACTCTGCCTTGGTGCCAGCTGAGTATGGACTGAAACCTCCACTCACTGTGAGCTAAATAAACCTTTCCTTGCTTAATTTTGGGCATCAGGTATTTTGTTCCAGCAATGAAAGAAAAG